TCCCTGCTCCAGCTCACTCATGGCTGCACAAACAGTAATGGCAGTGTGAAGGAGGCAGTATGAACAAATAGCCCATGGTGTAAGACAGAGGAGGACTCGTCATTTTCGCAGCAGCAACCATTTATCCTGCTTAAGTTGATAATGGACCTGTGGTATTAGTTAAACTGGTGCCAGTTACTGTATGGATTATCTTATTTTCCTGCTTCTTACTTCCTCAAGTCAATTAGTGGCAGATTCCAACTAAACCGATGTAAGCCATTCTTAACCTGGAATGAAAAATCTGCTCGGGGCATTTATATTGCTCATTTGAACCAGTGCAAGTTCTTGTGCCTGTGTATGATCTCCACTTCATACATACACAGAGATGAAGAGGCAACAACAGCAATACCTACACCATCCTACAGGAAATTCCTGACAGTAATAAGAGCTGGTCTGACCAGCCCCTGTCAGGAAAGTTCTGTGACACCATAAAAATCATTCAATCCAGCTGTGTTTAAGTTTTATGTAGCCTTTAGAAAGCATAGCTGACAGTACCTGGGTAGCTGTCAGAAGTCCTAGTAGCAAATGTAGCCAACAAAAAATAAACAGATAAAATTAAAAATCTCAGACTGGCTAGTATTGGGTCTTTCCATCTAGGATCCTTAGCATTTAATGAGTTAAGCACAGTCTGAGAGCTCCCAGCCTAGACTACCTGGGGTCTGCCCTTTCCTCAGAGAACTGTAAGTCATCCAGGCTGACATCTTTGCTTCAGAGAAGTCTCTGTTCCCAAGATTTCAATAAATGTCCGGGAGTCATAATTGCTTTCCATTGTTTTCCATAATATTCTGCATAACTGGTGTAACATTGTCCAATCTGATTAGAGATCTGGTCCTAGCCCTCAGCTGAAATCTGGAAACCTGAAGCTTTCTGCTCAGCAGACTTGTTGGCTGCACTAGCCATCATTGAACTTTGCATACCCCTGAGCAGGATTTTCAGCACAACTCCCAGGAAGCCAGGGACACCCACATTTTCCTCATCCTTGTTTTTTTTTCCATTGCTACCTCCAGTCCTTAGGCATCTATTGATCCTGAAGCTCTCAGAAATACTGAGTATCTACAGAGGAATACAGTTAGTATGAAATACTAATATAACAAAAACCAGCACATATTATCCATGCTTCATCTTTCAGTGTAGTGGCCTACTTGCACTGAGTGCCAGAAGATGTAGGCTACAAACCTACAGTTCCTTCGATGAGCACAAGATGGGTTACGTGGACTAATAAAGTAACACCATGTTTTCCTACCACCCTTATCCATATAGGCTATTTGACTTGCTGTCAGAACTAACAGCACTGAAAGCCCTTGACTAATGGTTAACCATCTCCTGTGTACACAGGGCTTGACTGAAATGCTCAGGACCAGCTCTTTGGTTGGCTCTACTCTTATCTTACTTGAAGCTGATGAAGGAGGTGCATCTACCCTTACTGCAGCTCCTTGCAAATCCCTGAGCAGAAGCAATCACTTTCTGGCAGATTCTGTCAACAACTAACAGCAACACTTTTCTGCAGTGTCACGCCAATCTGACTTCTACAGGGCAGTCAGGCAACCGCAGCATCTGAGCAATTTACGTTGTCCCCATTCCTGTATGTGCCTTGCTGGGGAGGCTGTAGGGAGAAGGCAGGAAGAAACAAGGTATCACAGTGAGAAATGTTTACCAACTGCTTTACAGTTCCCCAGGTTGTTAGCTCTTGCAGTTAACAGGGATGACTTCTGATCTTAAACAAACGGCACAAGGTGTGAAAATTGATCAATATTTCTTTACCAGCATCCCCACTTTGAAAGTCACCTCCAGTATAGGGCTGGGAATCTGATACAAAAGCTCTCCAGGAGAATTGCATTTAGTAAAAAAAAACAAAACAAAAACAAAAACAAAAAAAACCAAACAAACAAACAAACAAAAAAAACCAGTAAGTGTGATGTTCCTATGTTTACTTATCTCTGTTTATTTTTTCTACCTTCTGCCTATGGAAAGGGGAAAAACCAACAAACTACATGCTAAATGATGGTGTTTCAGCATCTGACTATTGTAACTTACAGTGGTACTACCAGTTAGACCAAACTGAAAATGCGTATTTTGTTCCCAATATAGTAACAAAAACCAGCAGATGTAACTACAGTTTTCTTTTTAAACTCAAAATACTAACCCCGTTATACAGCTGAGAGCTCAAATGAAAGCAAGAGTTGTTTGAATTGTAAGTATTTTCCACAAGTAAATGTTTTTGTATGTTGATAAAACAAACATGTGTTTTGTGAATACATGTAAAAATTACATCTCTGTCATTTTGTGTGAAACATCTTACAGTCCTAATTCAGAACAGCATCTGTTGTCACGACGGTACTTGAACACATGTGATTGATAGGTTTTAAGCAAGTACCTAAACCTTAACACATGTTTAGTTTAGAAGTTCTTGTGAATCACAGCAGGCAGAGGCAGACAGCATAACTGTGAGATCAATCTGTCTTTTCAAAATTGTTGCTGTTTAAGACAGGAAAAACAAAATCCCTTCCTGAATTAACATGTTGTGATTTTTATCATAACATTCTTTCTATTAAATGTCATACCTACAAGTGTTAGCATGTAAGTTCTCACACTGAGTCAGCTGAATTACACACAAACATACATCACAGAGCCTCAGTTCCAAAAGACATGGTACTTCGGTACAAGTCTGGAACAAGAATATCTTAATCTAAATCAGTTTAAATTAGTAACAAACATAAAACACACCATAAAAAAAGTTACCATGAAGCTAAAGGAGTTAGCCTACATTTACGAGAAAATGGTTGCGCTTAGATCAATTGGAGTCAACAGTTGTACCAGCACTGGGAATGCTGCATCCACTAAGATTGATACAGCCCCGCAGAGTGCTCCCTGCAAGCATTCCCTGCAGAAACCCATTTCAAGTCTCCAGCCATGCACTTCTATCCTCTTGTTGGAGATCAGTGTCCCCACAGGAGACATGAAAGAGCATGTCCTCAGAACACTCTCCATCTGCTTCAGTGCCATGTGGGTTGACTTAATTCGGACAGTTCTCTCTGTAAATTAAGCCAGCCTTTGTACCAAAATGGATGAGGGTGTCTACAGCTTCCAAACCATTAGTTTAGATGGGGCAAAGCTGCCAAGTATCAGCCACAGGGAGTTACAAACAACAGGAATTGACAATGTCTTTAGCTAGTATAGCCATTTCTTCAGTGAAGGTCTCACCCATATATCTGATGTGATCATATATCTAGCTAAGATGCAAGTTCTAGCTTGATTTGCACTGGCATAATGAAAGCATCCCTTTTCCACATGCCCCCACCAAAACAAAACAAAGCTGTATTGCTGTATTTTCCTGTTACAACTTAGGTAAAGGCCATGGGCACTCTGGGGTACAGGTAGAGCAATTTGAGAAACGACTGCCCAGAGCTGCTTTTTTATCACTGTCCAGCTGCAAGTCTTTTTGCTGATGCTGCTAAGCCATAGTAAAGTTGTGTAAGTGGTCCTAGCCCATTTCAGTGGACACGCTAAGTTAAATCTAGGTATCTGCTGATATCTGCTGCATGGACTCAGGAATACTCACTAATGGGTCTAATTTAACTCATAGTAAAAAAGTTTCAGAAGGTGTTTCAAGAGTTTATTAATAGCTCTTGTGACACAACAAACCTCTGTCAAGAACCTTATACTGCTTTCTGTAGTACTTTTTGTAGAACTCTCTAATGCAGGCTCTAAGGATTATCTGTGCTGTAAAGTAGTACAATTTCATAAAGTATAGCCCCCTGTGGAAAACCCTGGTAAAGACCAGGAGTATAGTAGAGTTGGGGCTTTTCAACCTTTGTTATATACCTGCTGCAGTTTATTATTGTCACCTATTTCAGTTCTGTAGGACAGTTTTTTCTTCCCCACACGGTACGTGGTGGTACAAGATTTTTTATGTTAAGACATAAACTGGAGTTGAGATCTTCCCGGCTTGGGCTTTTTTGTGGTCATGGGCCCTTAAGTCTCTCCCCAGCAGAAGGTGCCCCCACTTTGCTCCACCCTTCAGCAGTGCACGTAAATCGGGGGCAGGCCAGCAAGTCCCAGCTTGGAGAGGTGGTCCCTGCCTGCCAGGACCTCCGTCAGGGCTCAGCAAGCGGTACGACTGGGAACTATGTCTTTTCGACCTTGTTATAAGCTGGACGGAAAGAGAGAAGTTTCATCCATCCTCATTTCTCCTCTTGTTGCCGTGTATGGTGTGAGGACTGCTGCATGCAACAGCCTTCAGTGAGAGGCTTTGAACCTCTTCCTTCTGCTCAAGCATTCCTGGAGAATCGTATCTCACGAGTATTTCAGGCTACAGGAAAATGTACTGGGGAAATCATGTTAGGTAAGGCTGCCTGAGCTGCCAGGGACTTTCTGTAGCCAAGGATGCTTTTGCTTTTAGCAATGCTTTTTTTGGTTGATAATCAGGCCGGGAAGCTGAAAGGACCAAATGTACCTGGAAGTAAGGGCGAAGTGAAGGCTAATGTTTTCCTCTTGCCTTTGCTGCTTTTGCAACTGCTGGCCCCACAACGTACCTGTGGTAAAGAAGTGTACAGAAAGAGACATTTTTGACTGGTTGTCAGCCCGTAAATATATGGAATCTGTAGCTTTCTGGAAGCAAGCCTAATCTGTATGTCCCTCTTCCCCCCCCCCCCCCCCCCCCCCAATTTTCAAGTTTAATTTGAGATTTTTGATGTGTTAATTCTAATTACTGCTGTCATAACATATTTATAGTTTATATTATCAATGGTCGACAAACAGTTTGAAAAAGCTCCTTCCCTTCTCCCATCTCCGCTTTGGTGTTTGTGTCTTTTTAGTACAAAT